CACGGACCGATTTCCTGTGTTGGATGTTTTACAGTAGGTTTTAACTCCGTGTGCAAAATGGAACCCATTTCAAATTATAATCGGTGGAAAATTACATCTGTCCCTTTCTTTGTGTTAAGGTGCTTTCTATTATTATTATTTTTTTAAAAATTATTCCCTAGAGACCTTCACTTCAAAAACACTTATTTTTAAATGCTTAGATATCTTGGTAACATTCCTTTGCTAAGACGAAGTAGACATGTACTGGGCATGTGCAGAGAGAGAGACAGAGAGAAGAGAGAGAAAGAGGAGAGAGAGGGGGGGATAGACAGACAGAAGAGAGAGAGGGGAGGGAGAGAGAAGAGAGAAAAAACAGACAGAGAGAGAAGAGATAGAGAGGAGAGGGAGAGGAAAGAACAGAGAGAGGAGAGAAAGACAGACAGATAGAAGAGAGAGAGAAGAGAGGGAGAGGAGAGAGAGAGGGAGAGGAGAAAGAGACAAAAAAGAGAGACAGAGAGAAGAGAGAGAGGGAGAGGAGAGAGACAGATAGAAAGAGAGAGAGAGAGGAGAAAGAGAAAGAAGAGAGAAAAGAGAGACAGGAGACAGAAGAGAGGGGGAGGAAGAGAGAAGAGAGAGACACAGAAGAGAGGGAGGGGAGAGAGAGGAGGGAGAAAAGAGAGGAGAGAGACAGAAGGAAGAGAGGGAGAGGAGAGAGCAGAAAGAGGAGAGAAAGACAGACAGACAAGAGAGAGAGAGGAGAGGAGAGAGAAAAAGAGACGAGAGAGAAAATAGAGACAGGAGAGAGAGAGAGAGCAGAGAGAGGAGAGAGAGAGAGAAGAGAGGGAGAGGAGAAAGACAGAGAGAGACAGAAGAGAGAGGGAGGGAGAGAGAGAGAGGGAGAGAAACACCGTCTGCTAAAGCCAGAGATGAACCATACAGAGTATTGGCATAGATCTTCAAGCTTTTTTATTGCTATTTTTTTAATTGAACATTGATATAATTTAAGAGTGCATGAGAATTTCAGAATAACTTTCTTTTTTAAGGCCCCCAGCGGGTTTTCCAAAAACATTTTATTAAAAAAGGGGGAGAGAGAGTAAACCTTGTAAGCGTTCTCATTTACGAATAAAGGGCAGCGTCCAGCTAATTGAATACACGGTCATTTTGCTATGGCTAATTTATATTTATCGGACCCCTGTCTTGCAGCCAAATTAATCTAATGCTTCTTTGCCGATGTGCCCGTCAGCTGTGAATTCCCTGGCTGGCCTGTTTGTGTGTAAACGTTGCGATGATTTCTCGCGGAAGGTTGCAAGATTTGTGCCAGCCCTTTGAGACAGACCAGATTTGAACCCCAAACCCACGAGAGATTTTTCTTGGGATGTCACTAAATGAATGGGTGACTTTGGGCCCATCACCAGGAGACGGTGAGTTCTAGTCCCGCCTTAGGCATGAAAGTTGGCTGGGCGACTCTGGGTCAATCATCAGGAGATGGTGAGTTCCAGTTCCCGCTTAAGCATGAAAGTCGGCTGGCTGACTTTGGGCCAATCACCAGGAGAATGTGAGTTCTAGTCCCGCCCTAGCCATGAAAGCCAGCTGGGTGACTTTGGACCAATCACCAGGAGACGGTGAATTCTAGTCCCGCCTTAGGCATGAAAGCCGGCTGGGTGCCTCTTGGCCAATCACCAGGAGAATGTGAGTTCTAGTCCCACCCAAGCCATGAAAACCAGCTGGGTGACTTTGGGCCAATCACCAGGAGACGGTGAATTCTAGTCCCGCCCAAGCCATGAAAGCCGGCTGGGTGCCTCTTGACCAATCACCAGGAGAATGTGAGTTCTAGTCCCACCCAAGCCATGAAAACCAGCTGGGTGACTTTGGACCAATCACTAGGAGACAGTAAATTCTAGTCCCGCCTTAGGCATGAAAGCCGGCTGGGTGCCTCTTGGCCTATCACCAGGAGAATGTGAGTTCTAGTCCCGCCCTAACCACAAAAGCCAGCTGGGTGACTTTGGGCCAATCACCAGGAGACGGTATTCTGATGGAGGTGGGTTGATCCTATTATGTCCCAAAAGGTCCTGTTCTGCTTCCCTGGGGTTGGGGCTGATGGCTGTGTCCTGTGTTGGATTTTTTTTTTTTTTGGTGTGAGGGATTGTTGATTCTAGGGATCTTGGTCTTTCTAATCCCATCAGCTCTAAGCTTCCTGGCTCCAGTCTTTCTGAAAGGATTATCACCTCTGCATTTCTGCAGACCTGGTTTCTGTTTGGAGCAGAGAGACTTCGTGGGGGTGGGTGGGTTGGTTTCTGCCTTTAAAATCCTTTGGTGAAATATAATATTCTGCCTTTTCAATATCCCCCCAAATATTTCTTTCTCTGGATTCTGCCCACAGCAGGAATCCTGGACTCATGGGATACTGACAAGCAGAGTCAATGGGGGGGGGAGCCCGTTTCATTTAACCACCGTGAACAATTGTAGTGTGACTCACTTACAACAACGGTGTCCAGAAAAGCCGTAAAACGAGTCAAAACCCACACTCAACAACCATCTGATTTAGCCACTGAAATTTTGGTTGTTAAGCCGAGGACTGCCTGCAATTTTCCTACCCTCTGGACCCAGAATGCTGGTCTGTGGGACCTTGGCTTGATTTCTAGCAAACCTCTCTGTCTGCTTCTCAACGATCTGCCTTTTTTCTTCAGTCTGCTCTTTCCCCTCGCTGGTTCCACCGCAGTGAGTCCGTTCATTTGCTGTTTTTTTGTTCTTTTCGATGAAAACCCGGGCAGTTGCTTTTAATTAATCTGTTCGAGTTCTGCGGAAGGTTTAGCTTAGACACCCTCCACTTTCCCGGGTGTCACTTACAATGCCTCACACTGGAAAAAGGGGAGAAAGAGGGAAAGCGGCCCGCAAAGTGTTTGAATTTAAAGGTTCCGACTTATAGCTTTCGAGGTCGTCGAAACACGGAAAAGGAAAAAATAACAATAATAAAAAAATCGAGCAAAGGTGAACCGACTGAAGAGTTTTGACATCGATGGAGAACCGTTTCACAACTCCTCTTTCGGCCGGAAGCCGTTAACAGCAAAGTGGGAAGTCTGTAGAGCAGTGTTTCTCAACCTTGACCATTTTAAGGCATGTGGACTTCAACTCCCAGAATTCCACAGCCAGCCTTGCTGGCTGTGGAATTCTGGGAGTTGAAGTCCACATGCCTTAAAATGGTCAAGGTTGAGAAACACTGCGTAGAGGATGGTGGGTTTTTTTTGAGGATTATCCACCCAAGAGAATCTTTGTTAGCCCAGGCTTGGACTGTGAGGTCCTTGGTGCTCTCTGGGTGGTTTTCTTGCAGACGTTTCGTGACCCAACTAGGGAACATCATCAGGAGGAGGGGGAGGAGGAGGAAGAGGAGGAGGAGAGGGGGAAGGCCTGTGGGGTCCTTGGTGCTCTCTGAGCTGGGTGGTTTTCTTTGAGATATTTCACCGCCCATCTAAGTAACATCATCAGTGCTAGAAGAGTGTGGGGGTTTGTGGAGATGAGGAGGAGGAAAAGGACTGTGGGGGGTCCTGGGTGCATCCTGAGCTGGGTTGTGTCCTTGCGGATGTTTCATGACCCAACTAGGGAACATCATCAGTGCTAGAAAGGAGTGGAATTTGGTAAATGGGTTCCACGCAACATAACAGCACTCCCGCCAGAGCTGATAGCGCAAGCCACTTGAGTAGAAACAGAGAGCAAAGCCCTCTCCCTTCTAACACTGATGCTGTTACCTAGATGGGTAATGAGACGTCTGCAAGTAAACAAGCAAGCTCAGAGAGCGCCAAGGACCCCACAGTCTCCTCCCCCTCTTCCTCCTTTGAGGTGTACGTCAGCTACAAAACCCAGCATCCATCCTCCTTGCCTTTCCTTCTCTAAATTATAATTTCCACCGTTCATAGGTCTTTAGTGCAATGGTTATTGCACTCGCAAATAAAAATATAAACATATAAATAAATAATAGTTATTGAAATGACATTGCCAACATCTCATGAGGTTTGGCAGTCCGAGGCGCCCGTATGTACTTCTTTGTTTTGATCCCAAATTTCACAACACCGTAGCGTTTTCTTAGTAATTATTTTGCGTTGTAGATGCACATTTCCGCCCCTTGCCATTTCCCCCCCCCCTTGTCCTAAGGCCCATTACGCAGGAGGAATTTCCCTTTTAGCCTACAGGGATTCAGTTTGATTTCGAGCAAGAATCTCCCAATTTTGGGGGGGAAATTTCTTGGAGTACCCTTAACTATGAGAGTTTGCTTCAGGTCTTGCTTGTGTAAGAAGTGCTGGAATTGGGTATGTCTAGTTTAACGAAGAGAAGGACGAGGGGGGACAGGAGAGCAGTCTTCCAATATCTCAGGGGCTGCCCCAAAGAAGAGGCAGTCAAGATATTCTCCAAAGCGCCTGAAGGCAGGACAAGAAGCAACGGATGGAAACCAATCAAGGAGAGAAGCAGCCTAGAACTAAGGAGAAACTTCCAGACGGTTAGAACAATTAACCAATGGAACAACCTGCCTCCAGAAGCTGTGAATGCTCCAACACTGGAGGTTTTTAAGAAGAGACTGGACAGCCAGTTGTCTGAAATGGTACAGGGTTTCCTGCCTGAGCAGGGGGTTGGACTAGATGACCTCCAAGGTCCCTTCCAACATCATCATCATCATCATCATCATCATTATTATTATTACTACTACTACTACTACTACTACTACTACTACTATTATTATTATTATTATTATTTTGCATTTTAGATGCACATTTCCACCCCTTGCCATTTTTCCCCCCTGTCCCAAAGGATCAACCAAGGTGCATTACGCAGGAGGAATTTCCTTTTTAGCCTACAGGGTTTAAGTATGATTTCGAGCAAGACTCTCCCAATTTGGGGGGGGGGGGAATTTCTCGGAGTACCCTTAACTATGAGAGTTTGCTTCAGGTCTTGCTTGTGTAATGCCTTTTGTTTCACCTGACTTGTCGTATAAACCTGTGGTTTTGTGTTCTGCTTTTCCATGCTTCCAGGAAATGGAGTGCAAGGTAAGAATTCGACCTGAGAGTAAATGGAATTTTTGTGGTGGTTGTTCAGTCGCTGAGCCATGTCCAGTTCTTTACGACCCTCTGGACACGTGACCTCAGGACACAACGACCGTCGTAAACACGAACCAGTCCCCAAGCGTCCACATTTTGATCAGTGCAGCGGTCGTAAGGGTGAAAAACGATCATAGGTCCCTTTTTTTTCAGCGCCGTTTTAACTTTGAACGGTCACTAAACAAACTGTTGTAAGTTGAGGACTGCCTGTATGCAAATCAGGCAACAGCCTGAGTTGCTGAGTCTTTCGTCTCCAACCTGATTTAGTGAGCAAACGTGAGGGATGTGTCTTTTTTCCCCCCTCTTATACTTTCAAACCTATTTTAGCTAGGCTCACTATACTGAATTTAATTTATGTCAGGGAAGATAGCTGGCTAAAAAACCCGCCCAGCAGAGATAAGGAGTCTCTGTTTTTGATCACCACCGTTGTTATCATTCAAGGAAGAGAAGCTGGGGGGATTGATTTAAATCCAGAGAATTTAAATAGCTCGTTTGTTCAAGGGGGGGGGACTCTTAACTTAAAAAGCTGAGCCTTCCAGTTGTCTTAGCCCAGGGGTAGGCAACCTTGGCTCTTTTAAGACTTGTGGACTTCAACTCCCAGAATTCCTGAGCCAGCCTGGCTCAGCTTGGAAACCTCTCCCTTTCCCCTCAGCATGGCTGGCTCAGGAATTCTGGGAGTTGAAGTCCACGAGTCATAAAAGAGCCAAGGTTGCCTACCCCTGGTCTAGGAGGCTCACCGCTTAGAACAGGAGGACTTAGGACAGGGGTAGGCAACCTTGGCCCATTCATGACTTGTGGACTTCAACTCCCAGAATTCCTGAGCCAGCATGACTCAGCTTGGAAACCTCTCCCTTTCCCCTCAGCATGGCTGGCTCAGGAATTCTGGGAGTTGAAGTCCACGAGTCATAAAAGAGCCAAGGTTGCCTACCCCTGGTCTAGGAGGCTCACCGCTTAGAACAGGAGGACTTAGGACAGGGGTAGGCAACCTTGGCTCTTTTATGACTGGTGGACTTCAACTCCCAGAATTCCTGAGCCAGCCACGCTGAGGGGAAAGGGAGAGGTTTCCAAGCTGAGCCAGGCTGGCTGAGGAATTCTGGGAGTTGAAGTCCACCAGTCATAAAAGAGCCAAGGTGGCCTACCCCTGTCTTAGACTATTTATGACGGGTGCAGTGTCTCGGAGTCATGTGATCCCCTTTTACGACTTTCCGACAAGCAAAGTCGAGGGGGAGGCCAGATTCACTTAACAACTATGTTATTAACTTTTAACAGCTTCAGGGCTTCACTTAACAACCGTGCCAAGGAAGTTCATCAAAGGGGGCAAAACTCCCGTCACAAACATCTCGCTTAGCTACATAAAAGTTTGGGTTCAATTCTGGTAAGTCGAGGAATAACTGAATAACAATAACTGACCCTTTTGTCAATCGCTTATCACGATAATGTGAATACGGGCAGTCCTCGAAGTTACGGCCACAACTGAGTCCCAAATTTATGTCGCTAAGTGAAACATTTGTGAAGTGAGCTTTGTCCCATTTCACGACCTTTCCTGCCGCAGTTCTGAAGCGAATCGTTGCGGCTGTGAAGTTAGTCACACGGTCGTTAAGTGAATCGGGCTCCCCCCCCGATCGACTTTGCTTGTCAGAAGGTCACAAAAGGGGATCACGTGATCCCAGGACACTGCGACCGTCGTAAATACGAACCAGTTGCCAAGCGTCTGAATTTGCATCATATGACCAGGGGGAAATGCTGCAATGGCCATAAGTGTGAGAACCGGTCATAAGTGTGAGAACCGGTCATACGTCACTTTTTTCGGTGCCGTTGTAACTTTGAACGGTCACTAAATAAACTGTTGTAAGTTGAGGACTATCTGAACACTCTGCAGGTTTCAGTCTTTGGATTAAAAAGATTTTGTGGGCAGAATTGATCCCAAACGTTGACTTTACTGGAACTTGGTTGTTCTTCATCTGTGTTTTTTTTCTTTCTTTCTCTTTCTCTCTTTCTCTGCTTTGGTTTTGTTTCGTTCTTTTCAGGCCAAGCAGCTAGAAGGAAAGGAAAAAGAGCTGAAGAAACACGAGACTTACTACAAGGAGCAGCTGAACCGCCTGGAAGAGAGGGTGAGGGAGTTTTATATTTTGCTTTTCACCAAGAGCCTTTGGGGGGAAGGCTGGGTAGAATTTGACCCTTCTGCTTTTAAAGGCACAGAATTGATGGGAAGAACGCTCTCATCTTGGCCAGCTGAGATCCTGGGAGGAAGGACATCCACCCATCCTCGTTTGACGACGGCCGAAAGAACCAATCCTTTAAAACGGGGTTTCTCTGCCACCTTTACCATAAACTAAACCACTTCCTCTTTCAGCAATCTCTCGTTCTCTGTGTGTTTAATGTGTCAACAGGAGGCAAAAATCGGAATTTACGATCCATTTTTTCCTAACTTTAAAAGAAAAATATATATACAGGTAGTCCTCAACTTGCAACCGTAATGGAGCCTGCCCATCCCGGTCGTTAGCCGTGACAGTCATAAATAAGCTTACCCGGGTGGACCCACCAGATGTGACAAGCATTTTGTCTTTGCGGTGGTTGTAAAGCGACCACTGGGGTTGTTAAGCGCACCAGTGGTTTGATAGGGGGCTTGGGGTTGCCGTAAAGTGGAAGCAAACGCCGGTTTTCAGCAAAACCGACGTAAAACGCAGTCGTGGGTCTGCGGGAACAGCCGTGAGCGTCCGTAAAGGCAGGCTGGTTGTCAATCGCCCAAATGTGGTCAGGTGATCTCAGGGAACAGGGTCGTCAGAATCGGGGAGGTCCTAAGCAACTGGTCATAAGTTGAGGACTACCTGTAGAACATGGTAAATTGTAAAACAGGTCCAGTGTGAACACTTGCTTCGTTCTGGTGACCGCCTTAAAAAGTTCCTGTGGGTGAAGTGTGAAAAGTCAGCTCAACTTTTTGAATCTTTGGGACTTTCCCCCCCAAAATGCAGATTTCCTGGGGGAACAGAATGCCAGAGCCATCTGGGTATCCAGCCAGCGAAGGTCCAACTGTCCAGACTGATATGTTAATAAAGGAGAATATCTGTAGCTCAGGGCTGAAATGTGGGGTCCCTGGTGCTTTCTGAGTGGGGTGCTTTTCTCGTAGGCGTCTCGTGACCCCACTAGGCAACATTATCAGTGCTAGAAGGGAATAGGGTTTGTGGAGGGGAGGAGGAAAAGGTGAGGAGGAAGGGGAGGAGGAGGAGGAGGAGGAGGAGGAGGAGGAGGAGGAGGACAACGACAATGGGGTCCTTAATGCTGTCTGAATTTGCTTGTTTTCTTGCAGATGTTTCATGGACCAAACTAGGTGACATCGTTAGAAGGGAGTGGGGTTTGCAGAGAGGATATGACAAAGGAAGTGGGGTTGTGGAGAAGGAAAAGGGGAGGAGGAGGGGGAGGGGGGAGGACGAGTACTCTGGGGTCTTTATTGCTCTCTGAGCTTGCTTGTTTTTCTGGCTGACGTTTCATGACCCAACTAGGTGACATCATCAGTGCTAAAAAGGGAGGAGAGGAGGAGGAGGAGGAGGAGGATTGTGGGGTCCTTGGTGCTCTCTGAGCTTGGTTGTTGTCTTGCAGACATTTCATGACCCAACTAGGTAACATCATCAGTGGTAGAAGGGAGAGGAGGAGGACTGTGGGGTCCTTGGTGCTCTCTGAGTTTGGTTGTTGTCTTACAGACATTTCATTACCCAACTAGGTAACATCATCAGTGGTAGAAGGGAGAGGAGGAGGAGGATTGTGGGGTCCTTGGTGCTCTCTGAGCTTGGTTGTTGTCTTGCAGACGTTTCATTACCCAACTAGGTAACATCATCAGTGCTAGAAGGGAGAGGAGTTTGCGAGGAGGAGGAGGAGGAGACTGACTCTGGGGGTCCTTGGTGCTTTCTGATCTTGGTGGTTTTCTTGCAGACGTTTCGTTACCAAACAAGGTAACGTCACCTATGCTCAAAGGAGCTTGTATCTAAATAGAGGGCAAACCCCACTCCCTCCCAGCACTGATGATGTTCCCTAGTTGGGTCGTGAAACGTCTGCAAGGAAACCCCCCCAGCTCAGAAGGCGCCAAGGATCCCTCAGAGTGACATATTGGATTAGTTTTACCCAATCCAACTTTTCCAAGAGTGATTTTTCCAATGATTAATTCTGAGATTGTTTTCCTTGGCTCCGCAGCCTTAAAAAACTCGACGCCACTGCTAGAGCGGAACAGCCGACTTCTCTTTTGTTGTTCATCAGAAAGAATAACACAACTTTATTAAAACTGTGTAAAATCCCACAGATTGATAATGTACGGTTTTCGCCCAAATGCTTCCTCTGGCTCCTTGTTAAACTATTTTTTTTTTTTAAAAAAAAAGAATATTTAAAAACAACACAAGGAAGGTGGGGAACGAAAAAGGAAAAAATGTTGCCGGGAAGAAGCATATCAGAAACTCATTATTCCTACAATATGTTAAAACGAATTTCGGCGTCTGCTGCAGCTTCGTAGATTAGCTTGCAAGAAGCAAAATACCTCCGCCCCCCCCCCCACCCCCCCAAAATAAGTGTGATCTTTTGTCCCCTTGAAAAGAATACTCAATATTTCATGCATATGGAAAACAGGACCCTGACTTTGATAGGATCAGATATCTACCAGGCACAATACCGTTCTACTCTGGTTCCTGGGAGCTTTCCAAAATCTGAATCAAAAGTCTTTTCAAGACCTGTTGAGAGAGAATCCTTTTAACTGGAGACGTGTAACATGGAACTTGATGTTTTTTGTCTGGCAGAAAATGTATTATTAAGCTTGGTGGCACAGTCAGCCAGATGTTCAGACTAGATTTGGCCTAATTGTCCCCTTATCCTTCCCAAGGGTGGCGCGGTGGCCTTGTCGGCTGCAAAGCTGGCAGCCCAGGTTCAAGACCCCAGCTCCACAGGATGGGGTGAGCTCCCGTCCTCACCTCAGCTCCTGCCAACCGACTGCGTTTCCCCAAAAGTAAGATCTACCCTGAAAACAAGCCCTAGGTTGATTTTTGTGGGGTGGGCCTAAAATAACCCCTAGTTTGGGGGCAAGGCGCACACCTAAAAATCAATCTGGGGGGGGGTTGGAGTTGCCCCACAGTTTACAAACAGTTGTAAACTGTTTCAAGCAAAGCTGCCTATCGCAATTGACCGATCGGGGTGGTGTCAATGCCGAACGATGTTCAGCTGGCGTTTTCCGTTGTTTCGATTGTTTATTCTTGGTCCTTCGCACACTCAGCCAGATGTTCGGACTGGATTTGGCATTTTTTTTGTCTGCCTGTCGAGGTCTTCCCAAGGACCTGAGATTGGCAGGTGTGATAGCAGTTACAGATGTGGTTGCAGGGTATAAGCTGTTTTCTTGCATGAGTTGGAACATGTGATCTATTGCTTCTTTGGCTGCTTTGCATCATCTGCCCTTTGAATGATTGGATGATGAGGATGAATAATTAATTTTGATATTATTATTATTATTATTATTATTATTGGCGTTTGGCCCAGCAGGAACTGCATTGATCGCTTTGTAATCAATGATAAAGCTTCCTTGAAACATGGAAGCTTTGCCTTGGTTATCACTGGTCACCACTGTCACACTCGCCTTTACTTCCTTCTAAGAAAGTTGAGGTTCCAGAGTGAAATTCGAGAGAAGTTGTCCTTTTCCAACTCCCAGTTTTCCCAGGGAACGGAGGCCGTGCTTGCTGCAAATAAGAATTCTTGTACAGTATTGTGGGATGTGTTTGGTGCTCGATGAGATTTGTTTGTTTTATTGCAAAAATTTCATTACCCAGCTAGGTTACATCACCAGTGCTAGGAGGGAGAGGGATTCTGTTCTGTTGTTCTGTTCTGTTCTATAGAATATTTGTGGCTCAGGGTTGAAATGGGGGGGGTGTCCTTGATGCTCTCTGAGCTTGGCTGTTTTCTTGCAGACGTTTCATTACCTAACTGGGTTACATCACCAGTGTTAGGAGAGAGAGGGATTCTGTTCTATTCTGATTAATTGTTCCAACTGCCAGGAAGTTTCTCCTTAGTTCTAGGTTGCTTCTCTCTTTGGTTAGTTTCCATCCGTTGCTTCTTGTCCTGCCTTCAGGCGCTTTGGAGAATAGCTTGACTCCCTCTTCTTTGGGGCAGCCCCTGAGATATTGGAAGACTGCTATCATGTCCCCCCTCGTCCTTCTCTTCATTAAACTAGACATACCCAATTCCAGCAGCCGTTCCTTATATGTTTTAGCCTCAGTCCCCTAATTATCTTTGTTGCTCTTCTCTGCACTCTTTCTAGAGTCTCAACATCTTTTTTACATCGTGGCGAGCAAAACTGGATGCAGTATTCCAAGTGTGGCCTTACCAAGGAATAACAACAACAAAATAAACAACAAAAACAACAAAAACAACAATAATAACAACAATAATAATAAGTTGGAAGGGACCTTGGAGGTCATCTAGTTCAAACCCCTGCTCAGGCAGGAAACCCTATACCGTTTCAGACAAATGGCTGTACAGTTACTTCTTAAAAACGTCCAGCGATGGAACATTCACAGCTTCTGGTGGCAAGTAGTTCCACTGATTTAATGTTCTAACCGTCAGTTCTAGGTTGCTTCTCTCCTTGGTTAGTTTCCATCCATTGCTTTTTGTCCTGCCTTCAGGCGCTTTGGAGAATAGCTTGACTCCCTCTTCTTTGGGGCAGCCCCTGAGATACTGGAAGACTTGCTATCATGTCCCTCCCTCGTCCTTCTCTTCATTTCCTGACAGAACAATTAATCTGTGGAACAACCTTCCTCCAGAAGTTGTGAATGCTTAAAAACTGGACATTTTAAAGAAGAGACTGGATAGTCATTTGTCTGAAATGGTACAGGGTCTCCTGCCTGAGCAGGGGGTTGGACTAGAAGACCTCCAAGGTCCCTTCCAAACTCTTTTCAATTCTGTTAAGCTTCCCATGCAGTAGATGTATTCAGGCTACATCTTATTTAAGAGGGTCCACGTTGCATGTCAAAGAAGGTTCATTCCTGTGTGCTGGAGGGACCGTCTTCTCTTCAGACCCCAAGAAAAGCTCAGCCGGTCCCTTCCATTCAGCCCGACATGCGAGCAGTCCTCAAGAGCTTCAGAAATC